GTATGCATGAAATTAAAAATCTAAAATGGTGACAATTTACCCATCGCACACTGTGTGTGTGTGTGATATATATATATATATATATATATATATACACACACACACACACACACACACACACACACAATACATAATAAATCAAGAAAATCAGGCACAGTTGTTTGATAGATTGATCAAATATAGGTCCTTGATTGTTGAAGTGGTCTGTCAGGGATTCACTAGGCAAATGAATGACCTAGATTTACTTGACAATACTGAGTTAGGTTGTGACACAAGGTCAGTTTTTAATGTGGGGACCAGAGTGTTTCCACTCAGACCACTGGTCTTAGCTTGTCTAAGTGAGTCATAGCCAGTTATACCATCGCTACGTAACCGATGTTACACAATGGTGATGGGAATGCAAGGGAGGAGAGAAGGTCTCTGACATGTAACAGATACTACATCGGCAGCATCCATCCTGCTTGAAAAATCTTCCTCTGCCAATCCTCTTGAAAGAATCTGTGGGGAAAGGCCTCCAGGCAAATGAATGTTCACTTTCTGGAAGAAATACCTTGGGCTTATATTGAGCCCCATGGGAGAGCCCATTACAAACATGTGAGATAGGCCAATCCAACATTAACAACAAAGCATTAGTTTCTATTAGCTGGTGATTGTTGGTTCAATTCCTGTACTGAGTAATACATAAGTATATAAAAAATAACACTGAGTGTTTCAACATGAAACTCTTGTCCATTAACCAGATAAATTACTTGAGTTTTTATTTAATATTATAATTCTAGTCATCTATTGCGTGCTTTTGGCAGAAGTTTTGCTTGCCTGAAAAATACACTAAATTGTCTTGATTTTTACATATTTTCTTCTGTGTGTGTGTATATATGTATTAAAATTTGTTTATTTAGGCAGCAAATTCTCTTTTAGGCATATCTGATTGAATAAATTGCAGACATTATGTATATAGCATATTTCTCTCATCCTTTAACATCAATACATGGTAGGTTATTCGTTAGTATGAACGGATTTTGTTAAAAATTAGCAAACATAATGTCTGTAATTTATTCACTCACACACACATATATATATATATATATATATATATATATATATATATAACACAGCAAGCTGGCACAACCTTATGCTAATCTTCTTCAGCCCTGGACTGTCAAAATCAGGGGTTTTGAATTTAGTTTAGATAGCAGTAGGGGAGAGGGTACATGCCTATTAAAAAGGGGTACCTCCTTTCAGATAAGGCACCTGGGTTGGGGACCAAAGCCTTTAGTTGTATGTAAATAAATTTAGGTTCCTGCCAGGGGAAACCAAACTATCCCAACAACATATGTTTTAATAGAAGTGACAATAGATTGTATTTAGACAATAAGGGGTTTTATGTTTTAATAGCATTGACAATCGATTGTATTTAGACAATAAGGGGTTTTATGTTATTAAGTGATGGGGGATTTGAAGACAAACAATTTTAGAATAAATTGTCTAAATAATAGATTCCCAAAATCCGTAAGTAATATTGAAACACCCAATGGAATAAATCATGCTGTACAACACATAAATATATAAATACACACACACATATATATATATATATATATATATATATATATATATATATATATAAATCTAAAAAATCTCATTCTATGCCATTAAGGATCGATTAAATCATTAGGAATACCAAGCTGTACCTGAAATTCTTTAAGAGGAAGATATGAAAGTAATAATTTAATCAAAGTGAGTTGCATCAGTTGGGGGACTGTTGCTTTTTGGGAGTTAATACATAATAAGGTAAGATCTATGTTCTTGTATAAGTTTGAACCTGCTTGTATGTCTGTATTTTAACACTAGCTCTTTCCTGTGATTTAATAGTTTGCATTGATTATTGTATTTTATTCTAATTTTTTTCCCCTAAACATAGCCTGCACCTAACTCTAAAGCTATTAGGAGTATGTACAAAACCTATAATTTTACAATCTATCTTAGGGTTAAGACCCTTTTTCTTCAATTTCTTTGAAAGAGCTGTTTGGTGTTTTAATTTAGGATTGTTAAATGAGTGCCTGTGGGTATAAATTCTCTGTTTCAATTCTATGACTTGAATGAAGATTAAAGTGTTTTTCGAGCTTTGACTTGGTAAGCCCTAAATGAGAGACCTATACTTTTCCACATTGACTGCAGGAGTCAGTTTAGCAGTTGGTGGGAGCTCTGGCCTTACCAAAATACCTCTTTTCTTCTGTGATTATTCGAATACCTTTACATTGTCTTATCAGTTACCTAATTCCCATTGACAGTGGTTGAATCTGACCCATTGCAGTTGTTTGAAGCATCATGTCAATGTTTACAATCCAAGCAATCTGGAACTTCAATGTTAGTAATGAACTTGCTCCAGGGAACCTTTAGAGTATTGCAGAGCCAACACTGATACCAGCCTGTAAGATGCACTGTTAAAAAATATATCCCAGAATTACACTGTATTCAGTTTTTTTGGATTATATGAAGATTGATTACCAATGACTCAAATTGTATAGTCATTGGGTCAGGATGTGTTGAGATGTACAATAGCACTAAAAACTCTTTTATAAAATCTTTGTTTTATAGAGTAGAAAATTAAGTTTATATTTTGCTAGAATTGTTAAATATATGACCAATTGGAAAGTTTTTTTTTTTTTTTTTTTTTTTTTTAACTTTGTTTCATTTCATTGAATATCAGTCATTATTAGAAAAATAATTTTATTCCAAAAGAACAACATTCTCAGGATATATCTATATGAGCAATAGATTGTCAGTTTCAGTTTGTTACATGTCTCCTTATTAAAAATATTTGTAACTTAAAAAAAAAAAAATTATGTGAATGGGAATCATGTTATACATGCATTTTAATAAACAAGTCCAAAAGCTAGCATAATTAAAACAATATTCCATATAGCGGAATAATTATTTTGCATCTAAGTAAGGGACCCTTGACAATTCTATAACCTTAATCAGTTTTCTTATTTATTGATTTTAACTTTTCTGCTGTTTCACCTTTAATGTTACTTGCAGCAATTTTTATTGCTTCAGAGATCTTTGCTTAAATATTATTTTTCCATTCTCATATTTATATATTTTAATAGTGTGCCAAAAGCTTAAGATTACTATCTAGAGAGGTTAGGAGTCATCCCATTAATTTGTTGTCTTTAAATTTTTTTTTTTTTTTTTTTTTTTAGCAAGGTAGGCAACAGTCCATTTTGTAAAATGAAATGGTGCATTTTATTGCATGAAAATATACTCTCTATTTTAAATACACTCAAAAGTTTTCTTGTCCAAGCAAAAAAGTTAAAATATCACAAGGAATGGTGTTGCAGGATCCTTGCTGCAGGCAGAACTGCCTGCAATTATTGCAATGATGCTTTAGTAGAGGCAAAGTGCAGCTATGCCCAAGATTGCAGTTGTAAACATTTCTAATATACAAATTGATATTAAAATCAAAAATTTAAATGGTATACTTATGTGAAATAAATTTAACCTGAAAATTTTCCTACAACTGATTGGTTCATACCAGACTTGTATAATAAAATCCAAAATAGTGTATGAGTTTACATTGTAGACTAACAACACCCAGTAGCAAGGCTTCTGGTCAGAAGATTGGAGGCTTTGATGAGTGTGGAACCACCTCTTAATTACTATTGTTCCTAAGTCCACCCTGACCCAAAGTGGTAGCACCTTTTAGGATAAAAAAGAAACTCGGCAATACATTTATATATATAGTAAAATGACCAACAATAAATTTTATAGTAGAATTACCAACAATACATTTGATCTGTAGTTGAAGGCATGAAATTATGTTGAAAATGTATTGAGTTGAAACGATGAAATTGTTTTCAAAATACTTTAGATTTTAGTATTAGATAACAAGATACCTTACTACTGTAATGTTAAATCTAAATAGGTTGGGGTGAAGAGTGTTGTCATAAAATATATTAGTTGTATTCAGGTATCATCAAGTAAAACTGTTGAAAAATTCTTGTTTCTGCTTCATTGTTTTTCTCTCTTGGTTTTGACAAACATTTCAGATTATTTTCATTTTTCTACTCAAAAACTTTTATCTATATTTTTTTTATCTATTTCATTGAAACTTTTTTCATTGCTGCTTTTCTGTTTTGATGCATCACTGATTATCTTAATATTTAAAAAAAAATGTGATTTCTTCAGTGTTTAAAATATAGTTCATCTCCATCCATCATGTAAGCCATTTTTGCTGTAAAAAAATGTTCTGTTAATGTAACTTGGAGTAGGATATTTTGTTTCTGTATTTTAAAAAAAATATATATATATTTAAGGGATATTTTTTTTAAATTTCAAGATTTAATCTTTTTAGTTCTTGTTTGAAAATAATGTATCTCATTTTGAGAGAGAAGACATCTGTTGGTTCTTTTTGTATTGAAGAAACCATAAGTCATGTTCAAGATAAGCTGTTTGCTTCTTTCTTGGTCTGTAACTCACATACACTGGCTAGAATCTCTGATGAAACTACTATAGCATTTTTGCTTAAACATTTAAATTTATCACTCTAAAAAAAAAAAAAATTGTTCACATAGAAAAGAGTTGTATGAATTTTAGCTTAGTCTTTTTAATTTTTTAAATAAAGATGGATGCATTTTCTTAGAAATGCCAGAAGTAGACTTGAATTGTCATTCTTAAAGCTTTCCTGAATCGTTGCTTTTTCACTGAAAGATTGTTTTAATTACAATAGCAGAGCCTAAACTATTCAAAAGAAATTTCATTTATCAGTGTATCAGAGGGAATTACAATCTAAATTTCTTGAAAAGAAAAAAAAAAAATGAATATTTTGTACATTATGCAGTATATCTAAGTTTGAATGAAAACACTTCAATTTTTTAGGTTTTAAACGTATGCTGCAGCATTTACTTGTTTTATTTTATCACTTCTCTTTCATGTTTATCTTTCCTTTCCAATTGTTACTTTATCTTTCTTACTCGTTTTTCTTTTTCCCTATTGGCTTACGGCCACATCATATTGAAACATTGGTTCTTGTATGATCACCAAAGTTAAGCAATATTGTGCCTGGTCAGTAATGAAATGGGTGACCACTTGGGAATAACAGATGCAGTAAGCTTTGATGTATTGATGGTGTAATGGATAACTGCTTGGAATTGGAAATCGATGTTTCAATTAAGTTAGGTTTATTATATTCACTTAGGCACAAATATCCGTGGGAAAGTTATGAATCCACCTCTTATCTTCAACCCAAGTTGTGTGTTAAAATAGAACTTCTGTTGGTAAATCTTATCCCCAAAAGTATTATTACAATCTAAAAAATATTTTATGTCTTTAAATAACTTGCAAAGATTAATAAGCTCAAAAAAAAATTCAAACTTCCCTTATTCTTTCATGTACTCTTCTGTTTCTTTTCTTTTTTTTCTCCCTATTTTACTGAAAATCAATTTTTCTTTCTTTATCTCTTCATAATATTTTTTCCTTTTTCAGTCTTACCACAAGCTTCAGCATCTCCTACAGCTTACAAGTAGGATATGCAGTTCCACATGCCACTCATCATTCTTGGTAAGTTTTTTTTTTTTTTACTTATGTGTATATATTTCAGCTTAGAAAATATGACAGAAGATGCAGACAAGTCTTTTTCTGTTCAGCTTTGTTTTTCTTTTAGGTCAAGTCATAAATAATTTTCATTTTTCTTTATCAAAAATAAATTTTATTTATCTATATAGTCACCATTATTAAGCTGCTTTCTAATACATTGTGAGTAAAATTCTATAGCTTTTTGCTGTGAAAAAGTTTTCAGCAAACTCTTAAATCTGGTTTTCATTAGAGAAAGTTTTCCCTCATCGAATTTTCAGTAATAAAAAAAAAAAAAATAGTAATAACTTGGTGCAAGGTTAGGTGAATATACCGAATTTGGTAGAATGGATAGTTCCTAAATTTCTGCTCCTGCATTGCTCTTGTATGCAGACTTGCATTGTCATGGAGAACATTTTAACTACTGGTAAGCACAGGGTACTTTCTACCAAATTTTTATACACACTTTGTAGCTGCTGGACATATAATTGTGTATGTAGTGTTGTCATGGTTTAAGAACTCTAAATGAATGACACTTCAGCACATCTACTACATGTACAAAATTACCTTTATGCCATAAGCTCGGGTTTGAGGATTAATTATGGAGATTTATCTCCTTTATTATTAATGCTTCCATTATTTTAGCATATTTTTTTACATGTGGATGAGGCTATTATAGTTGTATTTTCTACATGTCAGTGTTTTATTTATTTACTTATTTATATATTTACTGTTTATTAGACATTAAATTATATCACTTAGCATCCTCCATAGTTTGCCTGGACTTTCAGTTAACCTGATGAATATTTATGAGCATTCTTCAATTTTAAAATTTTCAAAAACTGTTTACTTTTGTTTATAAATACTTGTTAAAAAATATAATTCTTACATTTGCCTTGATAAAGTCCATCAGAGCATGAAACATGTCAGCTGAGCTGAAAGTTTTGCTTTTATTTTCACACACCACGCACACCATCCGTTCCTGTTCAGTGGATTTTAAGTCTCCTTCAGATTTTGAATTGTCCTTTCAGTGTTCATGTTCCATTAGATTTTTTACTAGAAGCAAGTATTGTGTATATATATATATATATATATATATATAAAAAGTGGCAACTCCAGGGGTCTGGCTTGTCAGGCTCAGCCCAAATGAGTCAACCTTCAAGTATATCTGTTTCAAAGCAACAAAAATCTTTCGTCATGCATTGCTTTCATTCTTGACTTTGGCTGGATCCAAAATTAATTTTTTAACTCTGCTTTAGAAATATTGAGCGAAATATGTTTAGTTGATATTGTTCATAATAAAGAAAGAAAAAAAAACAAACAAAACAAAGTAAAAAAAAAAAAAAAATGAAATATTAATATGGCTAGTCGGGCTGCATAGATCTGAGCCCTGTGAAAGCTGGTGACATACTTAAAATGTATTTCTTGTTTTAATTTTATAAATAATCTTATAAAAATAATCTTATAAAAATCTTTAATGACTTGTATGCCTGTTTTTCAAAGAACACATTTTTATTTCAACTTATTGTTTTCAAATGTCTATTTTAAATAATATCCCATAAAGTATAAGGTTTTTTTATGTATATTTTGAGAAAGGGCAAATTAAATTTAGCCTGACTTTGTCAGCAAAAATCAAAGAAAGTGGCAGCCTTAACTGTCAACTGGAAGACTGGGATGAGGAATTTGACTGTGGTAGTATTGAGGAAATATGATATCAGTCAGCAGTACTGATCATAAACTTACAATAAATTAAACTAAAAATTCACAGACAGACACACATAAACACACTAATGCATAAGCATATATACAAACACACACATCAGTGACTTGATGACCAGGTTATAAAACATTAAAAAATGGAAAGAGGGACAAACATATCAAAGACTTTGTCCTCACTCTTTTTTTCTTACATGTCTGGAAATTTTTTTTTTAATTAAATGTTTTTTTTTTTTTTTTGTTTTTTTTATGCACAGAGATTTTTAAAAATTATATATTTTAGTTAGAGTAAATGAATAATTTTAGCATTTAAGTTATATCAATAGTATATTTTGTTAAAGATTGTAATGAGCCCAACAAACATTAATAACCTAGAGTCACTCCTGAGATTATATATAATACACACAAGCACACACAGGAGATACTGAAAAGTTCTTAGCCCAATTCACTTAACAAAATCTGACTGAATAAACAATTTTTTTTTTCAGTCCCCACTCAGGTCAAATAATTTATTTGTTAATTTCTTTATTGTATTCTTCTTGTATGCAAACAAGACCTTTCTTTTTGGGGACCTATTGTGTGAAGAAATATATTGTATTAGTATAAACATTATTCCTTGATGGAAAAAGGAAATACATGTTTGGATTCCTGTCAGTAGGCTTATTTTTCTTTAAAGACTCTCATTTCTAGGTGAGTTGACATTAATTTCACTGCTTAAAATAACTGGGATATCAAATTCAAATACGTGTACCAACTAAAAATAACATTCATAGTAATAAACAATGATGTCAGATAAAAAAATTCTTTAAAAAAATTAGAGACACACACACGCACACACACATATATACATTAGTCCTAATGATAAATGAACTTTTACTTATTGTTGAAAAGCTCCATCGAGTTTTTTAACAATGTAAATTAATAGTTTATGCAAATTATTAACATCGTTCCTTAACTTTTGTCCAGTAGCTTATTTCCTTTGTTCCATGTAAACTTTATTTAAAAAAAAAAAAACAAAAAAAAACTATTATATAAATTTTTGTAATTTTGTATAATATTTATGCATTACATCTTAATCTTTATTCGGTAAAAATTTCATTGCTAATCATGCATTACTTTTTAAGTAATACACATATTTATGTCTTTGCTGTTTCCGTTCCTTATATTATGGCTGCTACTATATATATATATATATATATATACACACACATTGAAAATGACTGACAAGGTGTGGTGGTTGAGTTCTTTTTTATAATTTCACATGTGTTCATATAATTTTTCTTTTCAGAATGTAAATTATATAAAAATTGAATGTTTTCAAAGTACTTTTGGCTATACTTTTAATCATTATGAAACATGAATTTTATTTTATTTTTACCTGAATATATGCATTGTTTTATGTATGTATCTAGAGTTATAGGAATGTTTTATTTTCCAAACACAGTCATCATATTGTGGCCATGTTGATGTTATTTGAGTGTTGACTTTTTTTTATCAATAATGCTTGCATTATTTTTAGTATTTCGGTACATATGGATGATTCTTTTTTATATAATTTCTGTCCTGAAAAGAAAAATAATTATGCAAACACATAAATTATAAAACAAACTCAACCACTGCACTTTGTCAGTTGATTGAGTTTGTTTTAAAATTTAAAAATATATTTTATGTTCTGAAAAAAAAAAAAAAAAAAAATGAACACATGAGAAATTATATTATAAAACTCTGCCACCACATCTTGTCAGTTATTTTCAATGAAAATTATATATATATATATATATATATATATATATATATATATATATATATATATTATAAAAATTATAAAATAAGAGAAAATTACTACAAAAATAGCCATTTTGTTTCATTTGTTTTATCAAGTGATGTTGAATGTTTACATTCAACATCATCACTTGATAAGACACCCGAGATGTTGAAACAAAATGGCTATTTTTGTAGTGATTTTATAACATATTTGTTATAATTTTTTAAATAAATGATTATATCTGCTCTACTCTGTATTGAGCACTCTTTTAAGAATAGTAATTGTTGGTTATTGGAATTCATTCCGTATACACCATTATATACTTGTGTGTGTGTGTATATATATATATATATATATATACATACACGCACTGAAAAATACTCAACTCGATCAATAAAATCTTATCATACATGAGATTTTTTTTTTTTTTTGTTTGCAAGGCTTTTTGCTTGGCCCAAAAAACTTTATACACCTTGTGTGTGTTTATATATATACACACACACACATCTTAACTACACTAGTTTTCCCTGTTGCTTCATTTTGTCTTTTTTTTTTCTTTTTCTTTGGGACTCTAAAAGAGACTATCAATTAACTGGTCCTTGAATACAGTAAAACACTGAAAACTCTTATTTGTTACCTTTTTATAATGAAACTTAAAAAAAGAGGAGACATAACAAAATACCATTAGAATAATTGCTTTGATCATATATTTGGAACCATATTATATTTTTTAATACATTTTTATAGCCTTTTCTCTTTTCACAATATGCCTTTTGGCCAAACATGATTATTGATGAATAATGTTGTATATGCTTTCTTTTATGCTATTCAGTAATGACAAGAATGCCAAAGAACGATTCTTTTGCTTTTTGGTTTCTAAATTCTATTTTTTATTTTCATCTCTTCTTTTAGCCACTTTCTTGTAAACTGTTGAAATGCCCTAATGGTTTCTAAAAATAATATTCAATTGGAAGAATTCACATCATTAGAAATAAAATTATTTTCCCCAGTTTGATTGTTTCATCACTTCTAAATAGTTGAAAGTTATCTTCCACTTT